GTCGGAGACAGAGGGGGGACGGGAAAATTGCGCACGGGACGCGCATGGGCGGGATCCAATGGCGTCCAACATAACCGAATGATGACCGGATCACGGTGCACTGGACAGCATGCTCCTCTGGAATCGAGATATTGCCATTCGCCGTGTGCCCTCAGCCGAGGCTCAAGTCTGAGCGCTGAGCGCTGAGCTGTTATGTCGCAACGCGCATTCTGGAGAAGTCGGAAGGACGCAAGAGTGGCGGCTGGGACCTACAACAACGCAGCAACATGCTATCAGAAGGCATCCTCAACTGGAGTACGCGGCTGACTGAACTGCGATGTGATGTCGTGTCGCACTTTTGGCATCAGCTTCGTGGCAGGGGACGAATGCGGATTGTCTCAGAAGTATTCGGTGACTCCTTGGTGAGGTGTTGGCGCGATGTTCTCGGGGCTCCCGTACGCTGCAGACACTCGAGCGAGGCAGGGTGCGAAGACAACATTCGCTTTCGACATGCACCATGAAACTGATGGGGTTACTTGGGGCCGATGGCCGGCCAACAGACAGATCTGTGCTCCAGAAGACGAACCTGCAACAAGTAGTTACGTAGATGAGCGTCGACATCGCCACTGCACTAACGGCCGCCGCACGCACCAGGGTACTGCACGTTTGTTCAATCTGAGCCCTGACTATCCCGACGCCGCCGGGTCAGTCTCTTATATGGGCGCCGCAAGACCCATCACATGTGACATACAACGGATTCCATTCTTTGGACAATCCCAGCAGTGTCGCGACCGTTGTGCGGAGGAATACAGCTCTTCTCGCCATAAGTTTGAACTTCAGATTAGAAAGCTGTCATGGCAGTGACGGTCTTCCATCAGGGCGAAAAATTTGAGGCCTTGAGGACTGGCATTTTTATTTACTTTAATGTTAGCCTATCCCGAGGGTCGAACTCGCGGCCGTCAAATTGCACTGCTTCCGCCCCGCGCTCTTAAGAGTCTGACGCTCTATCCGATTGACTAGGCAAGCATCGCACGTGATGTCGTTGTTATTCATCACAATTCACAAGTCCAGTCAGGTCTGGCAACCAAAGATCAGGGAGATTCCAAGAACCGCAGATCGTAAGGTAGCACTCTCACTCTAATCTCTTCAGCGTGACTGACGACCGTCAGTTCTGGGCTCTCATCATGATCGAACTTTCTTACTAGTACAACGAGAGCTTTCATTGTAAAACCGTACACTTGCGCTGATGGACGGCTAGTCAGCGCGCACTATAAGAGACAATCGGGACGTAAGATATGGATGAGACTACTTCAACTAGGACTGTCCTTCCTTTAATTTTCGATGACGATTATGACGCTTTGTCCCTCCGTTCCTCCTCCCATAGTGTGCCGCTGACGACCCCCGAATCCTGGCGTATACTATCGCCCGGGCAGCATCGAGTTCGGCACCAGCCCCGCTTTACCCACGGACTGCTATTCCTTGTCGCTAGCGGGGCTCTTGGGGTCAAATCTGAGCACGATTCGTCTTGCAAGGCGCAGTAGAACCGGTAAAAATGATGAATGCGCACTGCCCGACGCTGGCCCGTACCGCCCAAGGGAGATGATGCCGCGAAGCGACGAGTCCAAGTTCGAGCGTTGTGCGGCCTTAGAAGCCTCTGGTCTACCGATGGACGCAAGTGCCCTCGAACGTCTCCGAGTCGGTGCTTGCAGCGGCGCAGAAGCAGTCGTCTTATTGTTTAACCCGCTCATCGCTGTTCAAGCCCAGGTCGGCAGGCGCGCCTAACAGAGGCAGTCTTCCCGAGACCTAACGCGCACCCTACTCTCTGACCTTATGACGTCTGCTAGCCTACTAAACTGCGTCAGGGTGCGCATCATTCCTGTGAGCTGACCATCTGCCCTTTATTTCCGTCGCAAATCTGAGATACATCTGCGCTACCTGCCTTCACGTCTTGAAATTTCAGGTCGCAATAACTAACTTGAGATCAATTCGTTCCACCGCCTGCAGCTTCAACTTGCAGGTTGCCGCCAAGATTTTTCCTGATACAGTACAGGGTGGGCTAGCTTCGCGTTATGAATAGATAGTAAGTAGTTCTGTCCGACAATCCCCTGCAGTGCTAACTGGTCGACAACTTAAGGAGATTTCATTGGCTACGCGGGAGTTCTTGAGTTACAGTTCCGTGTTCATGATCATGAAGGGCGATTACGGGGTGATATCAATTGAGGGTGTGGCACTCATGGCGCTCACTCGCTCCTTCTCGCTCGGAGCGCTGATCAAGAGGCGGCGTCGGGATAGTCAGGGCTCAGATTGAACAAACGTGCAGTACCCTGGTGCGTGCGGCGGCCGTTAGTGCAGTGGCGATGTCGACGCTCATCTACGTAACTACTTGTTGCAGGTTCGTCTTCTGGAGCACAGATCTGTCTGTTGGCCGGCCATCGGCCCCAAGTAACCCCATCAGTTTCATGGTGCATGTCGAAAGCGAATGTTGTCTTCGCACCCTGCCTCGCTCGAGTGTCTGCAGCGTACGGGAGCCCCGAGAACATCGCGCCAACACCTCACCAAGGAGTCACCGAATACTTCTGAGACAATCCGCATTCGTCCCCTGCCACGAAGCTGATGCCAAAAGTGCGACACGACATCACATCGCAGTTCAGTCAGCCGCGTACTCCAGTTGAGGATGCCTTCTGATAGCATGTTGCTGCGTTGTTGTAGGTCCCAGCCGCCACTCT